GGTAGGTTTAGGGGTAGGGTTGGTGTAGGGCAATAGAATATACGGTCTGTACAGTAGAAAAACCATTGCGCCTATGGAATGTCCCCACTTTTCACAAAAACAAACCTGTGTGTGTCTGTGTGTGTATGAGATGTGTGTTTCTGTGTGTGTGTGTGTGTGTGTGTGTGTGTGTGTGTGTGTGTGTGATTGATCAGTGTGTGTACAGGGCTGGTGGAGGCATTAAATAAGCAGTTAGCAGACATGGAAAGGGTGGTGCTATGGTACAGGAAGGGCTCATCTTTCCTGGTGCCACAGCCATTTCACTTTCAACTGCCTAAACCAGCTGGACTCATTACTGTAATCTACCCTGCAGGAGTGCCAGATAGCCAGCTACAGGCCATCAGAGAGGCAAGACATGAACAGATGTACTACCGTTCAAAGGTTTAGGATCAGTAAGAATAAAAAAAAAAATGATTAATTCTTTTATTTAGCAAGGAGACATTCAAATAAATAAATTAAATTTAAAAAATCGAATAAATGCTGAAATAAATGTTAAAATAAATGGTAAATTTTTTTCAATCCTGAAAAAATGTATCACAGTTTTCACAAAAATATTAAACAGCACAACTGTCTTTAACATTCATAATAATCAGAAATGTTTCTTGAGCAGCAAAGCAACATATTAGAATGATTTCTGAAGGATCGTGTGACACTGAAGACTGGAGCAATGATGCTGAAGATTCAGCTTTGTCCTCACAGGAATAAATTGCATTTTAAAATATATTAAAATAGGAAACAGTTATTTTAAATTGTAATAATATTATACATTATTACTGTTTTACTGTATTTTTGATTATAAAAATGCAGCCTTAAGTGAGCATAAGAGACCTGAACTGGTCCTTTCAAACAATTAAACATTAATTAAACATACCGACCCCTGACTTTTGAACGGTAGTGTATACAGTACACACACAACGTTTTCATCAGAGGAAGCACAATGTCTCAATCCTATGAATTGCTGATTATTACTGATCCACATGTGTGGTCCCTAAACCAAGTCAACTTCCTATGTGTGTAGGATCTGCACAGGAAGTTTAAATTACCATGTGACAGGCCATACCTGAGACGTGCCAATGCCTTTCATTTCCCTGATGCAGCTTATAAAGACGGATACCTCCACAATCCCCACATACACCTGAACCCACCCAACACTGAGGATGCTAAGGTGAGACCGTATGTAATAAAGTAATAATTCACCCACAAATGAAATTCATTTTGTCGTTCTAAACATGTTAGCTAAGTTTTTTACCTTTTTATCTGTGGAACACAAAATGAGAATTTTGTAGTATGCATCATAAATGTTCCATACGTCTTATTAAAATTATATTCCAAGTCTTCTGAAGTCATATGATAATTCAGGGTGAGAAACAGATCAAATCTCCCCTTGTACTTGTTTAAAAATTTGGCTTGTTAATTTCAAAATGGAGACTTTAGACACATCTGATTGATGACAAATATTAAAGAAAATGACATGGGTGGTAAGTAAAATGATGGTAACATTTTCATTTATCGGTAAACTACCCCGTGTACAGGTGGCTGAATATGTCATGAGCACTTTTTAAAGTGCAAAATCTCTTGATGCCAACATTCAATTTTAACCATTAACAATCTTGTCTTTGTCTTGTGTTTCTCTCTGTAGCTGTATCTGGTGCAGGGTGTGTACAGTTATCATCACTACATGCAGGATCACGTGGATGATAATGGCTGGGGATGTGCATATCGTTCCCTTCAGACTATTTGCTCTTGGTTTCAGCAGCAAGGATATGTGGAGACGGCTGTGCCCACACACACACAGATCCAGCAGGTAAACAAAATTGTCACTTTATGGGATGGTGTTCAATTTATGCTGTCTTATTCTATGTATTTAAGAGGAGCAACCCTTGTTACAACCAAACATTTGGTGCTTTTTCAGGCTCTTGTGGATGTTGGGGATAAAGAGCCACGTTTTGTGGGTTCACGTCAGTGGATTGGCTCCATCGAAGTTCAGGCTGTCCTTAACCAGCTGCTGGGGGTCACCTCAAAGATCATGTTTGTCAGGTAGACAAAGTGTGTGTGTGTGTGTGTGTGTGTGTTTATTGTTTAGGGTGGTAATGGCCATAACATCATACTGGAGTCGGTTCTGAAAAACTGGACACGTTTTTTTCTTCTGTATACCACCGCACACAAGTGACTGCATTTTGGTTAAAGCCTGGAATACTCTACACAACTTTTAAAATCTGAACAAATTTTAAAAACTAGGCATCATGCACTTGCCTAATTTGTAAATGATTACAGAAAAAAACTGGGCATCATAAACTAAACTAAGGATCACACAATTCCACAACAATATGTAAATATATAAAGTCAGCTCAAAATAAAATATCAGACATATTTGATATCCTTGACTGGATGGGAATCATAGTCTAAAAGCTAAAACGTTTGAAATATTGTGCAATTTTCTGTGAAATCTGTTAACTGCTCCATTGGCTCTGACTTTCGGCAACTAGTGTCAACTCCTCAAGACTGAAAATCGGGGCAAAAGTCCAGTAGTGTATTCCAGCTTTAAGCTTAACTAAAGCAGATGCAAGATTATGATGAAATAGGTTTACAAGTTTCTGAATAGTTTGAATTTTAAAAATTGTCTTTCTGTTAAAGTAAGGGATCTGAGCTGGCCACCAAGGGCAGAGAGCTGGCCAACCACTTTCAGACTGAAGGAACTCCTGTCATGATCGGTGCGTTAACATTATCTTCAGCGCCTTCCTTCAACTTGTAATTGGATAGGAGCAAGGTTTCCCCCCTCAAAAACTGATATTATTATATTTATAATGAACATCTGGTCCAGCACACTTGTAGTATACGCTATCATTCAAAACTTTGGGCTTTGCTGTTCTTTTCTACTGATTTCTAACTTTTCTATTTTTTCTCAGAGTACTGAAAAAATGTTTTTAACATTGGTAATAAGCAATGATTATTGAGAACCAGATTCAGGAGATTAGAATGATTTGACTGAAGTAGTGATGCTGAAATTTCTGATTTGTTATTACAGGAATAAATACAATTTTAAAATGTATGAAAATAGAAAACAATTATTTTAATTGTAAAAAATATTTTATTTAAAATCCTTCCAACCTCATTCTTTTGTAGTGTATAGATAATATTGCTTGTTTTTTAATGTAGATTTCTTGTTTTGCTATTTTTATATGTAAACGGTAATTGAAAAATAAAGCCATATTTTTTCACCAGGTGGGGGAATACTTGCACACACTATTCTAGGCGTAGCGTGGAGTGAGAACACTGGACAAATACGCTTTCTTATCTTGGACCCTCACTATACTGGTGGAGAAGACCTGCAGACCATCACTGATAAGGTGCATTTGACAATGTCACTACTCTAGTCAGACCTTTTCATTTTAATATAAAAATTATATCAAATTCTATTCTGCCTTAATAACAAGCTACTTTAATAACACCAATAATAATAATATTTTATGATATTATTCCATTATACCCAGACACATTGGATTTGAAGTGTATCATTTAAAACATCAGTTAATAGTTCAGACATTAGAAACTGTTTAAATTGTGTCCGAATGACAAAAAATGTCGGTCAAATAAAAAATGATAGATTTTGCTGCACCTAAAGTTTCTCGAATGTCCTATTTATATTGCTCTCCACATTACTGTATTATGAGGTATATCATTAGTGAATCAATAGCTCAGTGTTTTATGCCAGTCATTTGTTAATGGTGTGTGTTTGTATTTTCTTCAGGGCTGGTGTGGATGGAAGGGGCCAGAGTTCTGGGATCAAAATGCCTATTACAACCTCTGCCTTCCCCAGAGACCCAAGACCATTTGAGTCACGTGCATGACACTTATTCGCTTTTATTTGTCGTCTGAATTCATGGATTCACTGGAAGTCTCATTGTTTCAATGAATGCAAACCCACATGTCACAGAAGTGATTTATTACTCATTGTCCTTACAATGTTTTAAATGTCCGTGCCTATTTTAACATCCGCTTTGAGTCACGCTAAAGGTTACGTTGATTTCAGCAACATCTCACATGATTTTCAGTCCGGCTGAAAATGGATGATATTAATGACATCATATCCTCAAGACTGCCCAAGTTTACAAGTTCATCATACATCATATTCACAAGATATCTTTGAACATCTACGCAAGATAAGGCTTCCTGCAATTCAATAAAAAGAAACAGCAGCTATAACATCTTCCTCAAACAGCAAATGTTTCCTTATTCATTGATTATTGCAAAGTCTCTTGACTTTTCCACATGGGGAGACTTAAACCTCGGCTTAGCTAATCTTGCCATATTAAGAATGTGTTGATCAGCCAAGCTTGGCAGCAAGTCAACTGTCTTCTGTTCTGCTCATTTGCACACTGTCATAAAACTTTGTCATAAAGCATTTCAGTGACATCAAGGTTTTTATACAATACACATGTGATCCAAGTTCAATTTTTTTTACTTTTTCCAGTGACAAACCCAGAAGTCTCCCCCTTTTAAGAACATTATCTGCTTTTTCCTTGATTCCCATCTGCTCTTGTTGGCAGGTAAAACATGTGCTGAGCACATTGAGCTCTGAGCAGTTCTACAGTACCAGTGTCAGTCATTCCTCTCGTACTTAAGACCCCAAATCACTGACCCCAGAACAGTGTCAATTTATCTAGACTGTTAAGGCTATAGTATAGGCTCAATACCAAATGTCCACCGGAAATTCAGTCTTTGAATACTGATACATCTGTTTACCATTCACTCCAGTAAGGGTTAAACAGCCTATTTTAAATTTCAATTCTCTCTCTTTATGAGAACATTCATCACCAGTCCCGTGCTTTCTTCCCATCTTGAGCACTGGAGTCCGCGCCTCTCTTCTGTCCTGCGAGAGTGCTGCTCAGCGTGTGCCGTTCAGAGAGGGATGATAATGAAGCGTTCTTCAAGTCCTGTGTTCTGCGATGCATGTTCAGAAACCTCCTGCACTCATTAAACCCGCAAGACCATGCAATATCTTCAGCAGTCTGTCCAGCGTTGTTGCAAATGCTGAATGGAAAAGGAATAGTTCATTGGAGAAGTGTTCATATTCATAAAATGTTTATAGTTGTTGACTATAATCGATGACGTTTGCTTTAACAGGTAAACAATGGGACATTCCTGTTATGTTTGAGCTCTTTTGAACTTTTGAAAATGAATTTGCCCATTTATGTCTATAATATGGTGTACTGGACTTTTATATATTCTGTGGGATAATCTCAAGCACCGTTTTAAATGTGCTTGTTGCTTAATTATTAATTACTAACAATAACAATAGTAATAAAATTAACATATAGCGAAAGTTAAGACATTTTCAGTAAGGAAGTTTTTTTTTTTTTTTTTTTTTTAATGCACCACCATTTAAAAGTTTGTGGCCAGTCATTTTTTGTAAGAAAATTTTTTTTTTTTTTTTTTTTTTTTTAATGCACCACCATTTAAAAGTTTGTGGCCAGGCATTTTTTATTTTTATTTCATTTATGTTTTTATTTTATTTTTGGAAAGAAATTAATGCTTTTATTCAGCGAAGACAGATTAAATTGATCAAAAGTGACAGTAAAGACTTTGACACGATTACAAAAAAAAACTATTTCAGTTAAATTATGTTTTTGAATTGTTCTTTCTATTCATCGAAGAATCTGACAAAATATCATGGTTTCCACAAAAATATTAAGCAGCACAGCTGTTTTCAAGACTGATGATAACAATAATAATGATGATGATAATTTCTGGAGGCTGGAGTAATTCAGTTTTGCCATCACCTGAATAAATTACATTTTATAATGTATTAACAGAAGCAGTTAATTTAAATTGTAAGAATATTTCACAATATTACTGTTCTTACTGTATTTTTGATCAAATAAATACAGCCTTGGTGAGCATTAAAAATCTCAACGACCCCAAACTTGAATGCTAGTGTATATAAAATAAATATTTTATATAGAAATAAATTTTATATAAAAATTAACATATTTCAGTGTCTTTTGATTTAGCTAATTTTCATATCTTTTAAAAATGTTAATAACATATTACAATATTTATATTTTATTAATATTATTTTAATTGAATAAGATTAAATGTTGTAAAGAGTGTGAGACAAACCAATTTATATCATAAAACGTCACAGAATTCATAAGATCCATTGCTAATATTTGGTCAAGTTTGGACTATTTAAGTGACACCAAAAATAATAATAATAATAAAAATGTTGGAATGCCAGAAAATAGTGAGAATATGAGAAAAATATATTAAACTGTGGCCAATGAAAACAATATTCTCAAGAAAAAGTTAAGTTAAAATGTTATGATTATTAAAAGTTATGAAAAATATGATTTCCAACCAATACATGATTATAACATGACAGACATTAAATGTACTGCATAAATAAACACATATTGAAAATATTTGCCAGTTTCTCTCTATCAAACCATCCACTTACTCGAAATGTGCCTCACTTGCCATCAGCACACTGATGCACTCCAAACTGCCCGCTCTGGCTGCTTTATGCATGGGTGTCTCTCCGCTCGCGTCCTTAAGAAAATCACATGAAAGGTTGAAACAAAAACAAAAAAATGCAAAAGCGCTGGGAATACACATTAACTGACAGGAACGTAATCATCAACAATAGAAACCCAAGTAACTACTGCTTAACGGAGGATACTTTGTACCTGCTGGTTTGCATCAGCACCGGTTTGCAGCAGCCAAAGCAAGCAGAAGGCCTGACCTCCGCACGCCGCGAGATGCGCTGGAGACTGTCCGCGACCATTCAGACCTCCATTCACCGCAAACCCGCTTTCAAAAAGATTACTCATGCAGTCCAGCTGAATGGATACACAATGAAACACGAACAACATTTCAATTTAAAGACATTGTTTTCTAAAAGTTTTAAAGCGCGTTTTGACAAATGGTAGGCCTATGGCTTTCGTTTTTAAATGCTTGAAACGCTTTTTTTTTTTTGTTGTTGTTACTTGGTTAAACATGATTCTGACTTTTCATACCCATAATAGTACAAATGAATTCAATTGACTTACCGACTCTGTCTCAAGCAAAAACATAGTAGCTGATGTCTGGATAATTTCACAAAGAATAATGCCGTATAAAAGTTTGACTGGGCGTGACACAGTCACTCCGCTGTTGCTCAGAAGCGTTCTGCAATCAAACAAGCGGACAGACCCATGTACAACGAAGTACAAAGCTATTTAGACCACGTTGTTCTATGATACAGACCAATCAGGATCAAGAACGGGCAGTCGTTGTCACGTGACTCTGCATCAATCCTACAGCTTGCGAAACAAGCTGTGCAGTTCCACACGTACGCACTTTTGCAGCAATTCACAATCACTCTGAGATACTCTGCTTTAATAAGTACATTTAATAAAGAAATTGTTTACATTACGGTCTGACAACATGTATTTGTCATATTTGAGAAAAAAAAACGAATTTGTAATTTGAAGTTGAAATGGGTTGGTCAGAGATAAATAATGTTTTGTTGGATTGTGCAGATTTTTTTTTTTTCCTTCATGCTTATGAGTGCATGAAAGGATTTTTTTTTTTTTATAGCAGAGGACGCTGAACTTGCAAGTCTGTCCTTGCAGGCTGTAAGGATGATGGATCTGTCATGCCAGATGTGCCAAGCAAACATGAAAGAGGCTTTGAGGGAATGTTATGAGCTGCACGCCCACAATCCAGCAGAATGCCAGCCTTTAAGACTGAGTTGGCAGCAGCATCAGTAAACATGTACAGTGGTCACGTACTGCGATATAATATAACAGACAAAAGCAATGCTTGTTTATCAGCTTGAGAAATAATTTCGAAACAGATTGTAACAATGCAGCTCAAATGGTTAGAGATGGTTGATTTGTCACTGACATTATACAGTGTTGGAGAAAGTTACTTTTAAAAGTAATGCGTTACTGCATTACTCTGCCAAAAAGTAACTACGTTACTCAGTTACTTTTTATATTCGTTTTGTGTTACTTTTTCTAGTCTATGTTGAGCTTGTTTGTTTGTTTAATAACAAAAATGTTATATTTTTGCCAAATCTTTTAAAGACCTTGTTGTGAAGGAAATGTAAATTCACGTCTGTACAGCTCAAACAAACCTTTCTGCTGTGTTGCCATTCTGGATTGCATAAAGAATAGGATGCAGAAAAAAAGTGCACTCTTCAGCAATGAAACACAAATGTGATGTTTAACTAGAGTCGTTTTTGCTTATTAATATTGTTGAACTGGATCATCAGCAGCAGGTCAGCAGCAAAGACATTGGATAATACAGTAAGATTAGCATACTTGAGTTATTTAACATTTAATTATTGCAGGTTTGCACAATATTCTGAGCATTTCACTATTTTAATTAAGTTTGAGAAATAGTGATTCTGTTTTTGTGCAAGTGAGATGAGTAAATGCATGTTCACATTTATTCTAGTACAGTAAGCATCCTGTTTACACAGCACACAGAACGCCACTGAAACTTAAGTTACTCCTGATTTCTCTCAACATCAGCTGCCAGTCAATAAATGGGAATTTGCGTTACTTATTTGAAAAAGTAACTCGGATATTTTCTCATAAATTTAAAAGTAATGTGTTACTTTACTAGTTACTTGAAAAAGTAATCTAATCACGTAACTCACGTTACTTGTAATGCGTTACCCCCAACACTGGCCATTAACAAATAAACGAATGCATACATATGAAATTTAGCTCAAAACAGAATTTGGAAGCTTCTCACATATTCACATGACTTAAATTACGTTTAATAGCATTTAAACCCTCTTTATTGCAACATTGCAATATATCTGGCCAGTATTAGGCAGAGAAGGACCCAAAGACCTGAAGAGAAATAAATACCGCAGACTGCGTATCCTCGCTCTCTTCTCATTTGGTTGCGGCGCCAAACTATTTGAGGAAATGACGTCACCTGGTTACAGTAGCTAACGAGCCCACACACTTCTCTGTGCAGCAAGCTGGACAGCTGAAAAAACCTGTTTTTTTGCTCTTATCTTCAACTTTTATCTTTCTGAACAGCGTTTGGAGATAAACGGCGAAATAAAATGAAGTACGCCAGCTGGAGATTTTGTCTGGCAGTGTCGCGCATGTTTTCGGTGTGAATGTCAAAAGGTAGGCACTGCTAGTGCTAACTTCATGAGCTGGATGAGTTTGCGTTGGCGTGCTTTTGCGTATGTACACAAGTTTATGGTCTAATTTCTAATAAAATGAAATATGCACATTAAATGTAGCAGAGTTTGCTAGACTTTTAAAGGTGGATTTCTGTGGAAGGATTGCTAAACAGCTAGTTAAAGCTTTTGTCATGGAAACATGTCCCCTCTGTGTGTATTATGAGCATGTTCAGCTACACTGCTCTCACCTTTGCTTTGTAAGTGTTAATTGAACTTTTTCCTGACAGCTGAACAGCTTTGCAAGGATCTGCATTGTATTGACGTTTTTATTAATGCCAGGAAACAACAGAGATGCACTGATAATCGGTTTTATTATTTTATGTATACTCAGTCGGTTATGTTGGGTGTACTTTATATATTTATTTATAGACTGACTTACTGTGTTATGTTTGGCTATATGTAAAACTGTGAACCCTTGGATTTTACCCCTTTATTTTATTTATTTCATTAATTAATTATTTATTTAAATATGTTTTGTATTATTTATTTATTTTTGTGGTCTGCAATCTATGGTCTATATTCAATAATTTTATAAGTAGAAAAAAAAACGAAAAAAAAAAACACTGGGATCAATTGGGATAAATACTAAAAATCTTGTTCCATAATTATTACATTTTGTAGTCATTTCACTAATAATAGTAATAATAATTATTATTATTATATAAACAATTTTAACGCTTATGTGTTAATTATTGTGTAATGATTTACTTAAATCAATAAGCAGAAACAAAATAGTAAAAACAGTTGGTTTTGCATTGATGATTATTTTAGCAATCATTAAAAACAATTATTAATCTCTAGAACAGTGGTTCTCAACCTTTTTGACTCCAAACTGTCGACAACAATATTCAAAGGCTCCATTACTTTTTTCTGTTGTTTGTGATTTACTAGACAATGATGAAGCATAATAATTTTTTTAAACACCTTTTACTCAATTTCAATAAATGGAATTTGGCATAGCTAGAAAAATGTCTAAAATAATTATATTAAAAAAAATGTTTCCCTGGGCACTAGGAATGGTTGTTGCTGAGGTGAGTTAAAATAAGAGATATTGTGATTTTATAGTCTTTTTAAAAATAATTTTAAGGTATCTTAAGTTACCTTGCTAGTTTGTTGATGGCCCGTTGTGGGCCTCGGCCCCCTGGTTGAGAATCACTGCTTTAGAAAACCGAAATTGTTCAGAAAATTCTGCCCAATTCCGAAATTTTTTTTTTTTTTACTACAAGAAAGTATTTGTATTACAGCTTCTTTTTCTTTTTCCATTCAGATTCCACTGAATGAGGACACATTTGAAAGACACACTACAGACATGTACAGTCACAAAGAGCTAGAGGGAGAAGTTGACCACTCGTTCTTTGACAGTGACAGTGAAGCTAATGGACTTGGTTCTGAAGATGGGCAGCTCAATAAACAGAAAGTCTCAGAAAGACAAGATGAGAGAACGGGAAAAGACACCCATGTTTCAATTGATCAGTTAGGAAATGAAGCTCAAAGTAAAAGGAACAGTGAAGATAAAGCCAGATTGGAGGATGATTCAAACCAGGGCAGGAGAAGGCAAAGTGAAGAGACAGAATATGAAAGAGAGCGGCAAAGTGTTGATGGCTTTTTCAAAGGCTTTTCATCACTCCCAAGTGCCAAAACCTCAGAGACTATGAACAGCAGTCAATCAGATGAAGGATCCAGTGTGCATTCATACTCATCTGATGAGGAAAGAGAGCCTGATGATGATTTTAAACTCAGGAAAACCAATGATAATGTTAACAGTGATGATGAAGATGGATACCATCGTAGTGACGATGAAAGTGAGGAGGATGCGAGATCTCCAGTGACACGATCAACGAAACATAAGGGATTGTCCCATGGAACATCTAAAAAATCTGCTGGAAAACTCCACAAGCTGAGTCGTAGCCGTTCATCATCATCTGATCCTGTGTCCTCCCACAGTAGTGAAGAGAGAAGCTCTTTTCGATCTCAGAAATCACCTGTAAAACATCAGCGGGTCAGTTCAGCTCACCAGAAAGAGCGACAAAAAGAAACGGCAGAATCTGAAGACACGGTCACTGATGTTACCCCTCTCTCGACACCGAATGTTAGTCCTTTCCAGTCCCTTGATGTGGTTCTGCCCTCTGAACCTGCAGCAGCTGTTCAACAACAGCCCAGTGTTACTGAGAAGGTGGTTGCGAATGATGTTTCGGACGGTCAGGGCAGTATAAGTTCTGAAGGAGAGGATGGACCAGGTTGGTGCAATGAATTGAGATATAAATAGCTCTGTAGCTGTTTCTTTTGTAGCTGAATCTCTTTCTCTCCCTTTGCAGTGTTCTTAAAAGTAGAGAAACAGTTAGACAGAGTACTCGTGGTCTCCAGCCCTTGCAGTGTTGGCAGCAGACGTAAGAACTATTCCTTCACAAATGAAGAGGTACAGGAGATCGACCGGGAGAACCAGCGGCTATTACGTGAACTGTCCCGTTCATCGGCACATTTGCGAAGTGGCAGCTCCGCCTGCTCCAAAACCAGCAGTCGCAGGAGTATTGCACCACCCGTACGGCTTTACCACAGCGCCCTCAACAGACAGCGAGAGCAAGAGCGAATTCAGAAGGAAAACCTGGTCAGTGTCAGTCTTTTATTTAAAGGGGTCATATGATGCGATTTCAAGTTTTCCTTTCTCTTTGGAGTGTTACAAGCTGTTCGTGAATAGATAAGATCCCTGAAGTTGCAAAGACTAAAGTCTCAAAACCAAAGAGATATTCTTTATCAAAGTTAAGACTCTGCCACACCCCCCTAAAACGGCTCGTTCTAACACGCCCCCACATATCTAGGTCACTATGTGGGAATATTTGCATAATGTGCCCAAATGTGCACGCAAAGAAAGAAGGCGTGGTTTCAGTAACCAGTTAGTGTTGAAGCAGCCATGTCAGAGAGACACTGTGTGATACTAGGCGAAAGCAAAAGCACTTTATTTGGCCTTCCGAAAGTAGATGCATTTAGGAATCTTTAAGATCACTTACAACAGAACAGCA